CTTGAGATCTAAAACCATATAGCCATGATTAATTCAAAGAGATTAACAATAATCAAAAGAGCGGAAGCTTATACCTGAATCCATAGAAGAAATCTTGATTTGGGTTTTTGATGATCTTCTAACCTTAGGGTTTCTCTAAATCCGAATTTCTCTAGCTAGATGGGGGTGTAGAGAATTAGAGAATGTGACCCTAGGTTAGGGACCATAACCCCTTATTTATAGATGTTGTACTTTTGTAATTTAGCCCCTCAATAAATCACAATTACAACCTGGTATCTGCACATATAACCCCATGATTATATTTAAATACCCATTAACCCAACTTAATTGATCACTTTAGTAGGTTATCCTGAAAGATAGCAATACATATTGATTAATCATATGTGCCCACAAATAGATTTATTAGATTAAATCCAACAGGGCTCATACAAAATATTGAAGATGTAGGGGACCTTGGAAAAGATTTGGGGGGGCTAATATTGAAATATTGAAGATATGGGAGGCTAATGTCGAACAATGCGTACATGTTTTCGCTTTTGCTTTTGCAGGCTGCATACGTCTCTCAGGTACACTTTTCACTGAGGCCCCAGCATTATTGCAGGGACGTATCAATTTGTGCAGACTTACGTCTCTCAGGTACACTTTTCACTGAGGCCCCAGCATTATTGCAGGGACGTATCAATTTGTGCAGACTGAGCGAAGACCCACTCCCCCGCGGGGTGGGTGGGGGGAGGGGGGTGGAGGAAGACACGTGAGGAGTTAGGGGTGTTTGGTTCTTTTCTTTTTTTTGGTGGTAAAAGTGGGGAAAGCTGCCAAAAATGTTAGCTTTTTGACAGTTTTCCTCCAAAATCACCCCTTAAAAAAGTGATTTCGATTTTGAGGGAAAGCTGCCCAAAAGTTGACATTTTTGACAGCTTTCTCCTCTTTTACCATCCAAAAAAACCTATCCAAACAGCCCCTAAGTGATATTTATGAAGTTTGCTTGGTTTAGAGAAGGGTTAATTGCATATATATAGATGCTAGTCCCGTGCTGTCACGAGTCCCATCCAATATCTGCTTTATTCTAGTTCGAATCCGGTTAGATTTATTACATTCGAACTCAGTCTCAAATTTGGATCGAACAGCAGAATGATATTCATATTTTTTTTTGAAAAGAAATGATATTCATTTTTGATTCGTTTACAAATATGATATTCGATGTTAGTTTGCAAATATTTGTTAGCATAGTTAGTTCGCGGGTTGGACTTTAAAGTCTATGCGCCCTGGATTGATTTTGGGTACTAACATCTTTTTTTTCTTTTATATTTCCTTTGTAGATTTGTGCACAAAAACCCTCCATGTTACATATATTTGCAAATCTATCCTCAAACACATCATAATGTTTAATTTCTCTTCTTTTGCAGCAAGATTCTCGAAGCAGAACTAACACGAAATCAACTAGAGCTAACACAAAAACCAATAGAACTAATAAGAACTGCAATAGAACTAACATAGCCACTAGAACCAGCACTTATATTAGAACTAACTCTAGTTGGAAGTAGAACTAACATGAAATCAGCTAAAGCTAACACGAGAACCACTGGATTAATATGAGCTGCAATAGAACTAACATAGCCACTAGAACCAACACTTCTACTAGAACTAACTCTAGCTGGAAGTAGAATTAACAAGAAATGAGATAGAACTAACTTGATCTCAACTAGAGCTAAGACTTACTTCATTAGAACTAACGCAAAGTTAGACCTATCAAGAAATGAGATAGAACTAACATAATCTCGACTAGATCTAACACGTAGTCCACTAGAACTAAACGCTCGACTAGATCTAATAAGAAATGAGATAGAACTAACATGATCTCGATTAGATCAAACATGTACTCCACTAGAAATAACGTTCAACTAGAGCTGCACAGAAATGCGATAGAACTAACAAAATAACAATTAGCGCTAACACTTACTACATTAGAACTAACACGAAGTTAGAGCTAACAAGAACTGTAAAATCATTAGAACTAACACGAAGTTAGAGCTAACAAGAACTGTAAAATATACATTTCCAATTAAATATACATATATTATTGTATTTGACATTTCCAATTAAATATACATATATTATTGTATTTGTATAAACATGTCATTCATCACTATACGATGATCCGTCTTTATGACTTTGTTCACAACCAGGAATTAATAACTGTGCAGCAAGTCTTGCTCATATAACTTCAAGGATATCGTCCGGAGGCGTCACGCGCAATGTCGAGCGACTTTCAATTATTGCTTGCATAAAGAGGTAGACGAACACACCATAGTCATAGCTGCAACATAGAATGCACATGTCAGTTTTTTCCACTATATCTAGATAAACAATTAAAATATTAGAACTAACATCCTTCTTTGTTGTTCGCATTTGATGGCTTTATATTTAAATTCTCTGCGCACTCTTGCACTAACAAAATTAGCTTGCTGGTGATCAAAATAGTTTATGCTTTTGTTAATAGGATCCATCCAAGCATCATGGTTAGAAGAACTATAATGTTTGACGACTTATTCTTTCAAATCAACCTCCACCAGATGCCAGTGATCGTCCCTGACCATATGAATCAACAGGTTCTCTATACGGATGACGGTAAATTTTTTAATATATGACACAAATAGCATGTTCCGACTCGTATCAATAGAGTGAGTGCTGCAAATCAAGTAATGTATGCGTTGAAATAAAAGAGAGAATCTAGGGTTATGCATGAGAGTTGATAGAACTAACATGAAATACATTAGAAATAATAGGAACTCAACTAGAACTAATAGGTACTCCATTAGAACTAACACGAATTTAATTAAAACTAACACCAGCTCCATTAGAATTAACACGCACCCCATATAGAAATAACATGCATTTCAGCTAGAACTAACACGTTAATTTAGACCTAACATGTACTTACAAGAAAGAACTGTAGCCGTCAAAAATTACCTACAAGCTCTCGCACGCAGCTCGAGGCAGAGAGAAGACGATGAACGCCATTATCCGAGTCACAAAAGCTTAATTGACGTCGATGAGCGCATGAAGCAAGTCGACGAACCGCGTGAAGCAACGAAACTGCAGAATAACAAAGATACGAACTAAACAGGAGCTACGCTTTGCTTATAAAAAAACGAAGCGCCTCTCGTGTTCCGTCAACTCCATGTATGGCTCAACCATGGGAGCTTGTAGATCTCCTCGTCGGCTTTCATACGCACTTTGAATAGTACAATTCCGAGTTCGGACGATGAAGATACAACAAAAACAATAGTTAGTCATAACCGAACTGACGAGCGAAATGACAAGGAAGATAGGGCTCTATGTGGCAACGACCCTTCACCCGAAGGACGATGTATCCAACACGGATGTTCACCAATCAACGGAAACAACCAATATCAAGGAAAGTCTGACCGGCCCTTGATTTCTTCTCATCAATCAATACGCCGTCATAACGACCCGGAAAATAAAGAAAATATTTGAAGAATTCCCAGCACTGACGAACTTGAAGATCTCGCTGTGCCTCAGTGAAGGTCTTCGCAAACATTTGCTCCCCTCAAACTACTGCAGAAAAGGGATAGAGGCACCGACAATACTAGGCGCCGACATCAAACCGGGACGGTGAAAGACGAGCCATGCCATGCCATCAAGTACGTATACGAAAACTCGACCTTTACTGAGAGAATCACGGTCGATGGTTCATAACCCACATGTGTAAAACCATCGACCAAATATCTAAGCCCACAATGAATATCGGTGACCATCGCTGGAAGCAGAGAAAGATCCTTCCCGTGAGCTAGCTGGACGGCAGAGAGGAGAACCTCAACAGGCAAAGCGTCGAAAAACTGATATGGAACGACACCCTTCTTCAACCAAAGGGCGAGATACCCCACCAGAAGGGCCTTAGACCGAATAAGCTTCCGTGCATGACAAATGAATGTTCGAAATTTAGTCCCCGCGGGAAAAGAACCCTCAACACCAGCGGTAGTAAATGAACGAGCGTCAGCCCTCTCGATTAAGTCATTAATGACAGAAGGTGTCAAAGGGGCCAACCCACAAATGGTCTCGCCCGAACTGCTCTCCAAATGCTGAAATAAATAATCAGCAAACTACTTCAAACTGACCTGCTTCTTCCTCTTCGCCAGAGGACTCATCCTAATCAGGGATGTATGATAATAACATGTAAGGTCCCAGAGCGTGTCATACATGTCAGAGGAATCTCTCTTCAGTTGTCCCAGCTGCAGGTTAGAGAGAAAATACTCTTGATATGGGTAATCTCCCATTGAAAGACCAGAAACCTTGTGCATCTCATGGAGAGCTAACCCCAACTCTCCATTACAAGTCAGAAAAGTGTTATTATCAGGGTTATAAGACTCCAGTAATGCCAAGAAATGACAACTGCTAACCGGAAATCCGTACATGGTGGCTTATATAGGTGCATACAATCCGCTACGTCTCAGCTCACTCTCCCAACGTCTCAAAACGTAACTAGTAGGGGTGCATTCGGTCCGGATACGGCTCGGATATGATGCTTATCATATCCATATCCGCTTACCCATCTCGGATACGGATACAGATACAGATATACCTCGATAAGAAAAAATTATAACCATATCCGCTAAAATCGGATACGGTTACGGATATACATGCGGATATATAAGCGGATATGCATGCAGATACAAAACAGATATGAGAAAACTACATAGTATTGAGAAAAACATAGTTCATGTGATACAAAAGAGTTTGTTAATATGTCCATTATAATTGAAAAGTTAAGATTAGACATATTGATCATCAAAATTAACCATAAATCCATAATCTAAGAATCGAAACTATCATAAGAGTATGACTAATATGTATTCGGATATTTCGGATACGGATACAGATATTTCACTACAAAACCATATCCGTAACCATATCCTATCAGTTATAGATTTGAATAACCATATTTGTATCCTAACGGATACGGTTACGGATATTTTCTCGGATACAGATACGGTTTAGCACCCCTAGTAACTAGTCATACGAGTCCACTACTTTTTAGATGGTGAATATGACCAACTGAAACATCTGAATTCCTTCAGGGGTAACTTCCTCCCAAGCACAGCCAGACGATTCCTCACAGTATGGACGGCTACTGACACCTCGTCCGATGATGCTATATCAAGTCCCAGAATCCCCGGTCTAAGGCCGCGAATATGATTATGCCCATCAGAACCTGGGGTCTTATGATGGGAAACAAAGCCACAGTGAACTTGATCATGGTCATCTGTAAGATTCCAAGACATCTGTCGCCGCACAGCCTGCGTCTCCAAATGAGCGAGAGAATGCGGATGGGAAATAGAGGGGATGTCTAAAAGGCTCTCGCCATCATCATTCAACCAATGATCATCATCAAGAGTCAATTTAGTCGGATCCTTAGCATGGTCCCCGAATAAATAATCAGACTTCTCTAAAGCCTGGGTGGAAATGGAGTCTTCAGTAAAGATAGCATCGGTAATCAGCTGGCATAATGAACGGCGACCCCCGTCTCGTATCAATCGATGAATCTCCTCAGGACGACTCGCATTAAACTGAGGGGTCGGATCAATAGTCTGCCTATCAACACTAGCAGTGAAAGTCTCCCTATTGCAACCGCTTGTAGCATAAGGTGGAAAGCCATCTGCGAGGAACTCAACTGCAACAAAACAACACAGAATTAGAAAATTATTTCTAAATTATACAAGGATTGAATTCATCTTACAAGCTAGCGAGATAGAGTCACTCCTTGGATGATTGGCGAGAATCTTCCGATTGTCTTACATGAGAAGGGTGGTATACACCATCACGTAAACAACGTGACGATATACCCCAACCAACACAGTGTAATACAACATAAAATCGCCACATATGCCTGAAGACGTGAATTGGCCAAGCAATACACGTCTTTTGAAGCCTTAATCCCCGCGAAGGAGGATGTCAGCTCTTCCCGAATGACCCGCGAAGGAGTCAAACAATGGTACAAAGGAACTCGAAATCATCCCGAAGCCTCAGAAATCATAAAAGCTCACCCCCGTACGAGGAAGCTACGGGAGCCTCCCTCTCGCTATGCTGAGAAGATGAGCAGCACCTATAAAAACGTGGTCGATGTAGAGACATTATTAACCTGCAACAAAAATCAACGAATCAGGTACAATCATGAATTTGAGAACCCGAAACTAAAAGAGAAATTATGAATTTTAACCAAAATCCTACAAATAAAATGAGATTTTACGGTTGAAGTCTAATTAAACCTACGGGTTCCATACATGCAAACAGTGAGTTCAATTTGCATTTAAAGCCCTCATGATCAATTTTGGGAATGAAATACCCAAAATACCACTCATGTTCGAGGCTCAATTTTAGCTATGAACACATTTAAATTTGTCCATGATCGAAAAGGGAAAACTCATTAGCCCCTCAACAATTTTTGGCCACCTTTTGCAAATAAACCCCTCAACAATTTTTGGCCTTTTTGCATAAAGCACCCCTCAAAGTTTCGACCAAATTAGCATACAATCCAAGCCTCAAAATTTCAGTCCTTATGCATAACACCCCCTCAAAGGTTTCAACCAACTTTTGCACAAAAGTCCCCTAAGAATTTTGGCCTCAAGTTTGCATAAAGCACCCCTCAAATTTTCGGCCATATTCAAAACTCATCTTCAAAATTCAATCTTTTTCATAAAACCCAATTCATGAGGGCAAAAAGCCACAATCTTTGCATAAAAATTCATAAATTCTTGGTTATATACCCACACTACAAGAATAAAGTTTTAATCTTTCCTACAAAATCCATAGATTCTTAAATCAAAATCAAGCATACAATGAGAATCCTTGGAGAGAAGCTTACCCAAATCAAGAGCTTGAAAACCCAACTAAAAAAGCTCAAGTCTAGAACTCAAACCCTCGCTTTTGAGATGAGAGGAATTTAGGCCAAAATAGAGGGAATAAAAGCCAAAATTTTGAAGGGGTCGAGGGTTTTAAATGCAAGAACTTGAATGGGTTAAGAATTCTTAAAGAAAAGAAATAATGGGTTTGGAGGAAGAGTTTGGGTAAGAAGAAGAAGGAGTAGTAGTTTTAGGGGGGAAAGGGTTTCAATTTGAATTGTGAAGCAAGAGGGGGGAAGTGAAAGTACAACAAAAGCACAAAAGAAAAAAAAAAGGTGGGGTGTCTCGGCCCATAAGCCGAGACACTCATAGTGTCTCGGCCAAGGTCGAGACACCTAGGGTGTCTCGGGCCCAGTTAGGGTGTCTCGGGCCTAGGCCGGGTCCCTCAGCTGTTTTATGATGGTTTTTCGCATGTTTTTGCCCATTATTGGTTGTTCTGATAAAAATTGACGCTAGTCAACGCGTTGCAATAAAAGTCAACGCCGATCGATGCAAAACCCTATGATTAACCCGGTCAACACGTAGTCCTAGGTCAACGCCAATCAACGTATTGCGATGAAAGTCAACGCCGATCGATGTGAAACCCTAAGGTCAACGCCGGTCAACTCGTAGCTCTAAATCAACACTAGTCAACGCGTTGCGACAGAGATAATCAATTCAAAGTCAACTCAATGACACGAGCCAAAACTAACTCACCAATTGTGATTCGAGACTTCGACGACGATCAGATGATAAACGCAGTATCGAAAGAACTTCAATTATTCATCAAAACATTGAATAGACTGAAAATCAAAGAAGTCAAAGATCGAAGCTGACTACAGGTCCTTTCACACCGACTGAAGGTTGGACCAATCACATCCAAAGTATCTCAAGCCCTTCTATAAAAAAAACGAGACTAAAACACTTTGGATGGGGTATCTGTAGACGTCAAAAATTACTCACGGACTCTCGCACGCAGCTCGAGGCAGAGAGAAGACGAATGAACGTCACTATCCGAGTCACAGAAGCTTAATTAACGTCAATGAGCGCATGAAGCAAGTCAACGAACCGTGTGAAGCAACAGAACTACAGAATAACAAAAATACGAACTGATCGGGAGCTACGCTTCGCTTATGAAAAATACGAAGCGCCTCTCGTGTCCCGTCGATTCCATGTATGACTCAACCATTGGAGCTTGTAGATCTCCTCATCGGCTTTCATACGCACTTTGAATAGTATAATTCCTAGTTCGGACGACGAAGATACAGTGAAAACAAACGGGACGTGCAAAACAATGCCCCGGACCTTAACGAAAACACCGCACGTGCCTCGGGTGTCTCGGCTAAAGTCGTTTTTTACAGTTTTGAGCCGTTTTTCGACCGTTAACCGTCTGAATTTGTTCCAACTGATCTAATGTTATCCTAGAATGTGATAAAGTGATTACAACTGAGGATAAGATCAAATCGTTCATTCTTATAAGAAAATGATGGCCCGAGGCCTATAAATACAGTCCTAGGGCCTTCATTTGCATAGATCTAGAATTTTCGAACCTCGACGAAGCCCTGGTGAATTGGAGATTGAAGGAGCACGAATTTTAGAGAAGAGGAGAAGATCAGATCAAGTTTTTAGGCATAAAGAAGAAGAGTTCGTCGGATCTACAGTTCCCGGTTCCTTCCCTTGATATCGTACCTAGCTATGATCTCGAGAAGAGTGGTTATCTCGCTATTACCAAGATAATTGCTTCGGTTTCTTGATTCCTTCGCGAATCAACGAAACTCCAGATCGATCTGATCGATTAGTAGTCCACGGATATCAACGTCCCCGTCTCAGGCAAAGATCTCACGCGAGCAACGGGAGATAAACGTCTGTTGCGTTTGTTTGAGAAGAATTATAATTTTTGTTATTTTATTATGTGGATAAATCTTATAAAAAGATTAACTTTTTAAACTCTTTGTAACGTTCGAAGTTGTAATGAGTTGCACAATGAAAAAATCAACTTTCACCCCAAACAATAACACTGAGACGACTCTAATTTTTTTTGTTAATTTAGACCTAACATGTAATTGTCCTCATCTTCATAGATGAGACTTTCACATCCTCTGATGCCCAATTTGTCATTGGAGGTCTGGAGCTGTCGACATAGACATATTTTTTTATGCCCGTCATCTCGTAATATCAAAGCTGTAACAAATACAATAAGCATTCAAATTAGAACTAACACGAGCTGCGATAGAACTAGCATGACTCCAATTAGAACTAACATGACCTCTATTAGAACTAACATGAATATTAAATATAACTAACATGAGCTGCGATAGAACTAACATGACTCGAATGAGAACTAACAAATACTCCATTAAAACTAACATGACACCAATTAGAACTAACATGAGCTGCAATAGAACTAAAATAAGCTACAATAGAACTAACATGACTCAAAGTAGACCTAGTATTAACAAAAAATATGATTAACATGAATTAGGTGAGGTTTAACGTGTAAAGTTAGAACTAACATGTTATGAAAATAGAACTAACACGACTCCAATTAGAACTAACACAATTGCAAATAGACCTAACATGAATACAACTAAAACTAACATGATATAAATTAGAACTAACACAACTACAAATAGAACTAGGGAAAAATGCTTCCATCCCCCAAAACACAAGAAAACGTGCTCCCCCTAAGACTTTTTCAATGGGTGCTTTGCCCCCAAAATCGCCCGCGATTTTCTTCCAGCCCCCAAAACGAATCCTCAGGCATAACTCCGTTTAAACCCCTCTCGAAATGCCCAAAATACCCTTCGCAGCCTGTGTTCGTCGCCCTCTCACGTCGGAAACATGACGTTTCGACTGTAGGCATTAAATGGTGATTAGAATGCCTTTTTTTTGGGGGGGGGGATTCTCATTTCCCTCCAAAATTATCACCAGATATATTCCCCTTCCAGCCGTAATAAAATCGCTGAGTTCCTCCCCATTCTATTACCCCAACTAATTTGTTCATTCTACTTAATTCTCCTCAATAAAAGCCTCTAGGTTTCTTCAACTACTCCCTGTAATAAAATAACGGATGGATCTCTTCTATGCGTGGTAACGAAGGTAAAAAGCAACAAAGGTGGTGACAGTGTATTCGTCGTTATCAAAGAGAATACAGAAATAATCAGCTTGAAATATCAAGTGTCGAAAAGGCTTAAAATACCAATGCAATCTCTTTCACTGAAGTTCATATGCGAAAGGGAAAAGAAATTCAGTATTTTAATTGACAATGACGATGAAATAAATTTAATGTTCGAGTATTGTCGGCGTAATGGATTTACAGACGCGAATTTGTATGCTACCTCTGCTGGGGAATCCTCAACTTCGCAGAACATGCAGACTAGGCCGGAAACTATGTAGGAATTACACTCCAGATTTTCTTTTGAGTTTACTGATAGGTTTTGCCATTAGTTGTTAACCTTATGCATTTGTTGCTTAGGTAATGAGTTGGTTGTCAATGCTATGTTAAGGACTGGTTGTTAAGGTTATTTGTTCGCTGTTATGTATACTAGTTGGTTGCTATGATAAGGTGTTTGATGTTAAGTATATGCGTTTGTTGTTAAGGTCACGAGTCTGTCCTTAAGATAAGGGTTAGTTGTTAAGGATATGTGTTGGCTGTTACGTTTATGAGTTCGTTGTTAAGGTTATTAGTTCGTTACTAAGACTATGTATTTTTATTACAACTTCAGGACAATACCGACAGAAAATTCGCGGTGCGCAAATACCACGTTCACCCAAACCTCTAATGATGAGCGTATTCCTAATGACAACCCCACCGACGACTCGATCATGCTGCTGGATGACATGCTTAACCCCTGAACAAAGATCCTGACTGAGTGGCACACCTCCATACGTGAAGTTGGTCAGAAATTTGATAGTGCTGCTGAAGTTAGATTAGCACTTCAATGCTATTCAATTGCTAAACGATTCGAGTATGATTTTTACCACAATGAACAAAGGCGCATAAGAGTCTATTGTCGATTCAAGCACACACATGGTTGCCCTTGGATGTTGTTTGCTTCCCCGCTCAGAAATTCGTCTATCATGACCATAAAGAATTTTGAATCTACCCACACCTGCGGTCAACATGGAGCAAATGCTGGCAACTCAAGGGCATCAAGGAAGTTCATTGCTAGCCAAATACAAGCTGTTTTGAAGGTTAGGCCAGATCTTTGTGCAGTTGATATCAAGAACGACATGCTCTCTAATTTTGGCATCAAGA